TAAACATGAAACTAAAAGAGAAAACGATAGAAGATGAACAAAACTAACACACTCCAAAATCCCAAGGATTTTCCTCTGTTTTTTATTCAGCTTTGGAAAGTACAACATATATCAAACGAATTATGTTTAGAGAGATGTTACCTTCAGAAACTTTGGTGTTTGTAAAAAATAATCAGATCTTATATAAGGAACAATCAAATCTAACAGTATATTTGTTTTAGGATGTACCTAAATCTTTAATACAACATATTTTTGGAGTAGCGGTAGTTATACCCTTGCGATATTTCTATAGAAGTGGAATTTATCTTTGGTTTGGTGCATTAGCAAATAAAAACACTAAATCTATTTATTTTATTCTACACAAAAAAATCTATTTATTTTGAAGATTAAAATTTTAAGTAAGTATAGAAAAGATATATACGTAAGCTTTAATTAAGTAAATATGTTAAGTATTGGAAATGTAAACATGTAAAGTATTGGAAATTTTACGTTAACCGGTGACATATTTGACTAACAAATTTGTTATGCTAAACATATATACACACATAATATGGAAAAGTACAATTCTAACAAATTTGAACCAAAAAAAATTGTTAAAAGAATCAGAATGTATAAAGCTAAAATATTGCAAAAGAGTTAGTCAAATATGGCAAAATACTTGTCACATATTTTGTAACATATTTTTCTTGTAAAACAGTCACGTTTCAGAATCGTTGGGTGATTCTTACTAATTTTGCAAGAATTTCTACATTTCGCAAAATATTTGCAAATTAGTATCAAAGATTTGCAACATAAATTCTTCATCGCCTTTTTGCAATGAAGTTGTGATGAAGTTACAACGTCTATTCATTATTGCATTATTATTGTAAATTTATTGCAAAATTTTGACAAAAATGAACATTGCAAATATTATGTTGCAATATCACTATTTTCTTGTAGTGTTTTCATTAATAGACAATCCAAAAATATTCAAACACAATTCAGTACTTCCAAAACCCACCATTGTAGAAACCCAAGTTTGTGATTTACCAAGGTCAAGCAGGAATTTACTGTCAATAACAAGCACATATTCAGTTATATGTTCCCTGTAATATGGCCAATATTCTGGTTAATAAAAAGTTTAAGGAAAAACATACGTAAGATAAATAAGTATGGTACAAACATATCATCCTTACATTTCGGGACACTTTTGTAGGGTGGTTTCAAAAAAACATGTACTCTTTCTCATCAACCAATGATAGGAGGTCTACCTGTAAAGTGTTTAGCAAACGATGTGATGCTAGAGTTTTAGGTGTTCCAACTTGAGTTTCAGGTGTTCCAACAAGGGATGAGTAACTCAAATCAACAGTTTTTCCATTGGTGGGAGTCCCCTCCACTAAAGTATTATCTTCATTTTCACCAACGTTTACTTCATTACTACCAAGGTGTTTTTCAATAATAATTATAACTGTCGCATCAATTAGACGAGTCACAACCTCCATTTCAGTAGCCTCCTTCTTAGTTTCCTATTACCATTAAAACATATTTCAGTAATACTTTAAATTATAAAAATTACCAGCTTGGACAGCAACTCACAGTCTTCTCCAATAAAACATCTTCCGTTAACACTATCAAAGCACCTCCCGTTGACACATTCTCCACATTGTCTTCCTAAATAACCAAAAATACGTTGTACGACTATTAGATAGACCACAACATATCATACAAAGTGGGAGTAAGAAACAAAAGTTCCCACTAAAATCTTACCCCCTTCTCTACCTGAGCACAAACTCCTGGTGGTTCAGACACATCCATTATATTATGTACATAAAAAGCATGCAAAAATTACCAATTACAATTTTTATTACCATAACTTTCTATTATTTAATATTACACATTCCCAAAATTATCTCAATCATATCTTCATCCAGGCTTTCAGAACCTTTAGTATGAAAATCATCCATAAATTCAACCTACAAATGGGAAGCTAATTAAAAAACTCCTTCGTAACCATCATTACATACGTCGAAATTATATATAACTTACCTTTCGACTCACATTTGAAGTTGGCACAAGACACCATCTTCCTTTCCCAAAGCAACATCTTCCTCTCTCAAAGCAATATCCTACAATTTGTAACATTAACTAAAAAACTTCACATTGTAAAATTCTCATTCAAATAAATAACATTCATAAAATCTATACTTACCATTTTTTTGTCTTCTCTACAATCATTACTCATAAAGACATCTTCTTCAAATTCATTAACACTACTACTAACTCCTTTCAAGAGTACTGACTTCCTCCGTCTACTACTACGACCTTTTCTGGACGAAAGAGTACAAAAAGATCTCTACTCACAACCCTACTTTTTTCTTAAGCCGCGCAATCTCTATAGCCTGTTGATCAATCTTCTCTGTCAAAGCTGATTTAATCTCCTCTAGCTGGGTTTCCATCCAGTCTTTAAGCTTTATACCGGTACGTGTAACATGAGGAAAATAGTTCTCCAACTTCCTCTGCTTGCGTTTTGAGCCACTTTTCCTCTTCTTTTTACATTTTCTCTTCAAACTAACAACTTCGTCATCAACAAAACCATCACCTAATTCCTCCACAGGAACCCTCCTATAAATAACATGTCTCTCATGCTCAACCATATCAACCTTCTCGTCTACTTCCACAAAATCAACACCAGCATAACCGCCAGGCCATTCAGCCTTCTCAAACACATGCCCTCCCTGTATCAGCTCTTGCATGTATAATACTTTCCGGTCTTTGTCCTCATCATCAAAATCCCCCAACAATCAGTGTGACTTCCACAGTTTCCAAGCGGTATTAGCGGGGTTACTGTCAACTGTGGTTTACACATAAACACAAATTAGAGAATAATAAAAGATTAATAATACAAAATCTTACACAAATTAGACAATAATAAAAGATTAATAATACAAAACTATCTTTACAAACAGCCTAAATACCTTAGGGTCCTGTTCAACTATTAGCACATCATTCATTGTAATAGTGGTCAGTTTTGATAGGCCAACAAAAGTTGCATCTACAAATATCTCCTCATCATCAGCATTGGGCACGTTCTTTAGCAGTAAGGGAATTGTAGTGTAAGCGTACAACTGTACTACCAACGGGAATCCCTGCATCCGAATCGAATGTTGCTGCAATTGTTGGCAAAAAACATTTATTGGAT